GCGAGGAGTGGGGGAGCGCGTAGTGACGGCGCGGAGCTCCTCTCCTAGCTTTCGTGCTGCTTGCCCTTTTCAGCCACCGCGCCCAGAGCGGTGTACCTTATTCTGAACTTTGCCGTTTTTAACCTCAAATTGTTGAAAAAGTTTTTGTGGGGCCGGGACCAGGGCTTTCCATTCATTTTGATTCCCAGCCATCTAAAGACAACTTTGTTTTACTTTGTTTAGGAACACCGCTCGCCATGGCACACCCTCGCGCCACAGCCATCGGCATCGACTTGGGCACCACATACTCCTGCGTGGCCGTGGTGCTCAACGGCAAGGTGGAGGTGGTCGCCAACGAGGTCGGCCAACGGACCACGGCCAGCGTGGTGGGGTTCCTCGACGGTGAAGTGGAGGAGCTGGTGGGTGAGGCCGCTGCCTCCCACAGCTGCCCCGAGAACGTCGTGTGGGGTGAGTGTTAGCAGCGTGCCCTCGCACGGGCGCAACGTTGCGCGGAACCATGACAGAGAAGAAAGTACCGTTAACAAAGCCCACAAAGTCTTAAGGGTGTTCCACATATTACGTCACTCCATGATTTAGGCCACTTTTTGACCCCACCCTGTCCCCCATGTCACGCACCGCCACTAAAACCGCCCCCCGCCCCCTTGTGACGTCAAATTTCCGACATTAAACGATAAAACATTTAATTTTTTTATAAATCGCTAGGTATCTTTTTCGTGTGCATCCTCTCTATCGCTCACTCAGATACTTTGCTAGTAGCTGTATGGTAAATTGACTGAATTAAAGCTGTTAAACAAGGTTCTTTACTCAAAAAATGTGACGTGCACCGTCATGACGGTGTTCCAGCCCCCCTTCCCTCCACGTCACGCACCGTCACGCTTTGCCACCCCTCCCCCCTCCCACCGAAGCTCGTGACGCATCATGTGGACGACCCCTTAGAGCTGGAATGAGAACGTATACTTAGTACAGGGGTCACGGATAACGACAGCACTAGTCCGTGCGAAAGAGATGGACTTATATGTGGCCCAGAAGAGTGAGAGAGCGCGAATGACAACATAACAGGGTTCATACCGGTCAGGGAAATCAGGGAGGTCAGGGAAAAGTCAGGGAAAATGAAATTGTACTGGAAATCAGGGAAAAGTCAGGGAAATCTGATAAAAAGTCAGGGAAAATTTAAGAAATTTGGTACTTTGTACGATGAGGATGCCATCGTGAACGCATAGGCCAATTTTAGCCATGACGCCTTGGTAAGAATGAATATTATCTTTCTTGACTTATCTTATAGCATTATTTTATATTTCTGCCAAATTATAGTCCGTTTTCGCCTCAATTTTGCAAAATTTTGCCTTCTCTCTCAACTAAAAAATGTCAGGGAAAAAGAGGATTTTTTCGTCTGGAAATCAGGGAAAAGTCAGGGAAAATGAAAATACAGATCCGGTATGAACTCTGACATAGTGGCCGGAAACGAGCAGCTGACATATTCTCTGGCTGACGAAGGCTGAGCGCTTGGCGTTTCATGAAAGCCTTGTACCAACGATCACTAGGCTCTTCCTTTTTACCTTTAAAAGGACACCGTTCAGCTTTATGAGCTGTCTGAACTGCTAGATCCTTCACATCTTGTTTTGAAGCACCATGGCCCATATCAACCATCACTACAACAGCATCTTTCAACTCTGACCCAAACTCCAAAAGCTTTGGCCGTCCTCCAAAGATGAATGTCTTTGTGACACCTTTGTAGTGACGGTTTGATATCACAGAAGGAATGCCATAATTCTTTGCTGCACTCATATGCTCATGGCAGCATTTCTAATAGCATTCAAAGCCAGTTCTAAATCTCTTGGTTTGAACCGACGATAGGTCGCAATATTGCCGTCTGCAACAAAACAAAGTTGTTAAAATATGACTAAAAATAAATAGTAAACACTAACATAACAAACCAGCAGGTGAATTAGATGCACATAAAAATATAACAACATAGGCTGAACCCAAGACAACAGTAGCTTTTACACTTTTAAAGAAATGCTTAGATGTGAGTGAAAGAAAACATTCGAACGATGTGGGAGGTTACTGGGGCCAGGGCCAAAAATTCCGTAGTTTCACCCCCACCCGCGTTTTTAAAGTACGGACTGTCAAGGTTCAAACTAATTATTTTCTGAGAGTGAGTGAGAAGTAATTCTACTCACTAGTTCGCTCACAAACAGAAGATAAATGCACCCACCTCTCTCGCCCGCGCTCTCTGGTGTCAGCTGCTGTGCAGGGTGTTTTCGAGCGCGAGCCAGTGGCGGCGCAGGGGGACATTCACATTCCGTTGGAATTGTAGTCGACTACGCGGGAAACTTTGAGATTTTGTAATCTGTCGACCCAATCGGCAGTTAGGGCCCGCCAAACAGAAATGATCCATGTTTGGAACCTGATCCATGTTAGGTAGGTTTACCCTAGCGCAGATTTTTTAAGCCAATATTTGTCGGAGGAATCTTGCGCGCAAGCTTCTAAAATAGACAACAGCTTTCCTGTAGGTTCAGGCTGCCAAGACCATTAAAATGGGTTCGGAGGTACATTCTGATGTTATTTCTTTGTTTCATGAGGTGCAGTGAAACAACATTCACTCACACATCGGTAATTATCATATAACTAAGGCCGCCCCAAATTTTTTAAAATGCCCAAATGGTCAGCTTAAAGAACAACACACCCCTTAAAGCAGGGGGCCCGGCTACGTGGCTCTCGAGCCACCCGCGGCTCGCCCGACCGAATCCGTGACGTCACGAGAGCCACGGGCGAGCCACAATGGAGTCTTATGGGAGAGGCGAGCCGTGGACGAGAGGCGGCGATGGACGGCAGCCACCGGCAGCCTCAACTCAGTCAGTGCGAGCCGAGCCGGCCGGTGACATACACCCAGAAAAATGGATTCTTGAATTAAGCCTAGCCGAGTGCTTGAATTGTGCACAGTTTG